ATAAGTTTTATACACTGGACTACAAGGAACTTCCATCAGAAACAAAAATATACTATTCTAAATCAACTTTTCGCGATGTTTTAAAATGTGCAATTAGACTTTTTCTATAACTTCTAAGTTTTAATATTATTAAAAAATAGTTTTTACATATAAAAAAAAATAATTAAGAACAAAAAAAATTGTTTTAAATTAATACTGATTTGATATAATATTTAATATTAATTTGATTATTAATAAGTTAAAAATAAGGAAAATGACATATTTAACCTATTTTGTTAATCGTTTAAAGTTGATTGTTGTAAATGTTTATAATAAAAAAAAAAAATTTATTTTACCATAACTTTTAGCTCAATTGGTAAGTTTGACATTGACATAATTAAATAGAAAATTTTATGACAATTAAAAAAATTGTATCGTTAAGATCAATATGCAGTCAGAAAGTTTTATAATTACTATTTATTGTAAATTTATCAGAAAAGCTCAATATTTTTTTGCATTTTTATGGTAATAGATAACTTAAATAGAAGTAATAGTAATAATTTCCTAGGAACTTTTGTTGTTTGTTGAAAAGATTCTATAATTGAAATATTGAGAACTTAATTAATTTTAATGATTTACTTTAACTAAATGTACCAATCAAAACAAAGTTGTTAAAAAGATTTACTCAATTGAGTGTATTATAAAATTTGATTATATTTGTAAAAATCAATTGTTAATTCAGGAGAAAAAACAATCATTTTTTTTAGAAATGATTTATATAGCAACATGTTACAAAAAAAAATTGTAATATTATAGTCTAGTAGTAGCACACACAAATAGAGTAAAAAAATTATTAAATTACAAAGTAAAATGATTTAATTTTGTAGTTGAAACCTATCATATCAAACTTCATTCGTTAATAAATATTTTGAAAACATTAGAAATTAATGATTTTAATTGTCTTTATGGAGACGATGTAATAACTAACTGTTTAATTGATAAATTAGAATTTTTTTTTCAATTTTTGAGAGTAATATCTTCAACTAGATACGAATTGTAGTCATTGGACGTATCGTTGAAAAAAGTAGGTCAAGTTAGAGCAGAGAAAATAAATGATATTCACAAAAAAACATCTTCTCGGCTTTGCATCGAAGCTAAAACTTAAAATATAGTAAAATAATTTTAATACGAATAAGAAATTTCTTCTTGCAAGGGGCGACTAAAGTGATGGGATCATTGTTCTTTATTGAAGTTATTGAATCTAAATGAGTTAAAAATTCTTTAACTAACTTAAAAAGAATTAAGAAAAAATGCAAAAAATTCATAGTCATACGCGGGTTGGAACCTCGTACCCCAAGCGTGTAAAACATAAATTCTACCAACTCGGCAACCGTACGTCGCTACCGGCGAGTGAAAAAATAGGCTATTTAAGCTAAATCAAATTTCAAAGTTATTTTTCTCGACTTAAAAGAAACAAACATATTTAAATAAGTTTAACTATTATTGCTATATTAATTTTTTATTTATATAATATTTATGAAAATCTGTATCCCCTTGTCAGGTATTTTAAAATAAAATAAAATACAAAACCCAGAATTTTAACACAAAAATAGCA